CTCACCCTGAACTCCTTACCCTCAGACAATTTCCTGACTACTCCCTAGAAATTATTCAGTCATCAGTTATCTGCTTTTAGACAAATACATTTTTACTTTTGACTTACCACTCTATTTTTTTCCTTATAGTTTTGAGAAATACAGAAAATCCACAAATGTAATACTACCATATTACACTGATGTGTACCTTTTTAGTTTTTTCCATGTATGTATAATTTCTTACAAAAATTAGATGACATGCATAATTTTATAACCCATATTTCAATTAACATATTGTGGAAGTTTCTAATAACATTACTTTTTTTAACATGTAAGAAATTCACAATGCTTAAAATTTAACAAGTATAGAAAAGACAGAGTGAAATCCTAAGGGTTCTTCCTAAAAGACTGTTTTTGGACACTGTACAGTGCAGTGGCAATATAGCTCACAGCAACGTCAGAATCCTGGGCTCAAGAGATCCTCCTGCTTTAGCCTCCCAAGTAGCTGGGACTACAGGTGCTGGCCACCACGCCGGCTAGTTTTTCTGTTTGTAGTAGAGATGGCATCTCGCTCTTGCTCAGGCTGGTCTTGAACTCCTGAGCTCAAGGCATCCACCTGCCTCAGCCTCCCAGAGTGCTGAGATTATTGGTGTGAGCTGCCACCTGGCTCTAAGAGACATTCTTAAGAGCTGCGTAAAGGGTATCACAAGGATGTACCCCACCTCCAGCTGGAACATCCCTAATCCAATAATCTGAAATGCTCTAAAATCTAAAACTTTTTGAACTCTGTAATATGACACTCAAATGAAATGTTTATTGGGTCATTCCAGATTTTGGATTTTCATATTAGAGATGCTTATCTGATATAATGCAAATGTTCCAAAATCTGAATCATTTTTGGTTCATTTCAAATAAGGAATACTCAACTTGTATTAAATTTTTTTAGGAGTCACAGCCTCACTCTGTTGCACTGGCTAGAGTGCCCTGGGTGGATCACAGCTCCTTATAACCCTCAGTTCCGTGACTCAGCCTGGGGGGTCTGAGCTGCTGGCATGACACCTGCCTCTCATAGTTGCAGTGAGGTGGTCTCACTGTTGCCAGGCCTCAAGCAATCCTCCCACCATAGGCTTCCAAAGTGCTGGGATCAGCGGCGTGAACCACCGTGCCCAACCCTCATCCTCTATCAAGGTTAATCCTTCCCCAGTTTTTGAGTTTGTTTTGCTATTTATGAACATTGAACAGGATTGTAGAAGTAACTTTGGGCCCACTCTGCTTTTTCATTCACAGATTTCTGACCCTCCTCCCTGCCCTTGGTTTCCTGTTTCGTCTGCTCTGACCTCTTTCATCATCTCCTTTTCTTGCTGTCAAATGCAGCTGTCACTCCAGCACCAGCTCCTCCTGCACTGTGGTGGTCTCAGTTTCCGGACTGTCCTGCCCCTTCCCTCATTCCCTCATCTCTCCAAGGGCCCAACCTGAAAGATACACACAGAAGATAAAAACTTATCTTTTTTCCTTTACCTGTGTTCTTATTTTCAGCTGAATCGTCTGTTTTAAGCCTTTAAGCTTCAGAAGAAAAAAAAGATTTTATGTGAACACTCTTGCAGTTAAAAAGCTTTGAAAATTGCTGTGTTCAAGGACCCAGTAAGTATAGCCTCTAAATTTCACTAACAGAAATAGAGTCTAGGAGAGTGGGGCTGGGTGTTAAGCCATCAGTGGTTGTTTAGAGTATTACTGTCAAGCTGCTATTTTTGGCATGCATTTTAGCTCCAGTAGATGAAGTATTTTTTTCTTTTCACAAGTTTTTAAAACCTATCCTTTTATAGACATTAGTAATATATAATATTCTGGTTTAAAAATCTGGGTTCTGGACCGTTTGGGTGTACACATCATTTCTGTATTCTATTAAGTATGACGATGATATAATTCCTATTTAACTATCTGGGAAAATGAATTAAATTAGATTTTTAAGACTAGAGATGCTTGCTTTATGAAGTGTTAAAACAAAGATGACATCAAGATTAACATCAAGATTTTGCCACTTTTTTTTGCAGGGATGAAAAATAAAGCAAAGCCGTGTGCATCACCTGTATTCCAGCAGTCCTCTGAAATTTAACTAAAATGATGACTGCTCCTCCTTCAGAGAACTGCTCTTTGACATACCAGTTACATCAGACACACCAGCCCCTTGACTTTAACTATCTGCTCTTCTTGATCCTACTTGGGAAAATAATATTGAATGTCCTCACACTAGGCATGAGGAGAAAAAACACCTGTCAAAATTTTATGGAATATTTTTGCATTTCTCTAGCATTTGTTGATCTTTTACTTTTAGTAAACATTTCTGTCATATCCTATTTCAGGGACTTTGTACTTTTAGGCATTAGGTTCACTAGATACCACATCTGCCTATTTACTCAAATTATCTCCTTTACTTACGGCTTTTTGCATTTCCCAGTTGTCCTGATAGCTTGTGTGGATTATTACCTGAATTTCTCTAAACCCACCAAGCTTTCGTTTAAGTGTCAAACACTATTTTATTTCCTTACGATAGTTTTACTTTGGATGTCAGTCCTGGGTTACGTTTTGGGAAGCCCAGGTGTCTCCCGGGCCCTGAAGACATGGAGTGCTTACTCTCATCCCTGTCCTTTCTACATCAGCAGCCAGAGTTCCTGGCTGTCCTGGTCCATGCTGGGGGTTTTACTTGTGGCACTGATCACCTCTTGGTCAGAAGTTATCACCCTGGTACGGGCTATCAGGATAACGTCCTATATGAGTGAGACGATCTTGTATTTTCCTTTCTTGTCCCACTCTAGTTACATGGCGAACTCTAAAAAGATTCTCCTGTCTAAGCTCCTTGTCTGTTTTCTTGGTACCTGGTTCCCATTTGTGCTGCTTCAGGTCATCATCCTGTCACTCCAAGTGCAGATCCCAGCGTATGTTGAGATGAATGTTCCCTGGTTGTACTTTGTCAACAGCTTCCTCATTGCCACAGTTTACTGGTTTAATTGTCATAAGCTTAATTTAATACACGTCACATTACCTGTGGATCCCTTCGTCAGCTGGAAGTGCTGCTTCATTCCACTGATAATCCCTAATTTGGGGCAAATGGAAAAGCCCATCTCAATAATAATTTAGTATGTTGCCATGTTAAAACCAATTAAAACTGTAAAAATTAAGATTTTACAATGGAAAAACTCAGGACATGTAAAGTAATGAACTGAAACTCCCTTACCTTTTTAGAATGTGTCTTTTGGAGCTATGATACTTATTAAAAAATGTTTTCTTTTAAAAAGAAATTCCAAGAAGTTTTTATACTTGTTCAAGAACACTCCACGTTACAAAAATTTGTTAGTAACACAAAAATGAAATGAGTTAACATTTGGCCATACTTCTATTTGTGTTACCCCCAAAACTTCTGAACATAAACTGTTGTAAATCTGAGATTTCACTGCCTACCTCAAGATATAAACTTAGACAGTTTTATCATATCCAGCCAGAAAATAAAAAATACTTTCTTAAAACGATTTGTTTCAAGCTTCAGTGTAAGGAGATTAGCTCATTTTAAATTTAGCTAATTTTTTGCAGCTCATTTCATAATTCCAACTCATAGAAGCAACCTAAGTGCCCATCAACTCATGAATGGATCAACAAACTATGGTATACCATGGAATATCATTCAGCCATAAAAAAGACAGAGACTTTTATATCTTTTACATTTACCTGATGGAGTTGAAATATATTCTTCTTAGTAAAGTATCGAAAGAATGGAAAAATAAATATCCAGTGTACTCCATACTAATATGAAATATATATATAAAAACAATTACATTTCCTCAGAACAATAAAACACTATTATAGTCCAGTTGGGGCGGGGGGCGGCAGGGCATGGGGTGGGATCTCACCTAAAGTGCACTTTGTGAGGGTGTAGAACACGCCCCCTGGGTGAGGGGCTCCTCTACCAATGGAACTTTACCCTGGAAGTGAGAACAATGTAAACCTAAAAATTGTACAAATTGTACCCTCATATTAATTTGAATAAAGCTGTAAAAAAAACAGCCATTAAAATAGATTCAGCTAATTTTTAATACAATATTCCTGGAATAAAAGGGTTTTACACTTTATGGAGAATGACTAGGGGCCTTTCCATGACATGCCAGGTTTTTAGTTGTAACTTACAATCGTGTTAACGGTGCCCCGTGCTGTGTGAGCGAGGCTTCGCATCTCTAGATGAGAAGGGGACTTCCTTGTACATTATACAGGTTTCAGCAGCACTTGGCCCTCTGCCCACCAGCAGCCTGTGGCACCTTCCCTAGACCATCTCCAGACATGGCCAGGTTTCCATAATCGCTGGAGTAAAACAATAAGTGGTAACAGAATGTGAAGTCACTTTTTGAAAAAGCTACATAGATTTTGATCATTTACAAACAGTAACACATTACATAATCTAAACCTACCTTTTCCTAAAGTGCTGGCTTTTAACTTTGACATTTATAGTAAGATTGTTTTTTTTTTACATCATGACCCACATATTCTTTTAACCACATGCATGTATATGAGTGTATAACAGTACTTACCCTTATACAATGCACAGGTAATTGTGATCCACAAATGGATTACTTTCCTTTATGTGAAAAATGTCCTAAAACCAGTGTGCTAGAACACAGATAATATCTGAGATTCAGGAAGTGCTTCCTATGACACCACAGCACCCTACCAAGGGTGACAAAGTGAGACTCTATCTTTAAAAAAAAAAAAGTTTCCTAATTATTTGTCATTTGAAAATGTATAATGCCCATGAACATCTCAAGGCTTCAAAGTCCTGTAGTGAAGAAACTCATTGACTTGAGCACACAGGTCTGTTAGTCAACACCAGCCACCTACAGGGATAAGCTGGGGAAGAATTAGGAATGGAGTAGCAGTAATACCAACCTGAGCCCTTCTAGCGAACTGGTAAAGTACTGGGAGAGTCTCCAGGACACTGGACCAGGCTGTCTTCCTGTACGGCTGCCGACAGCTCAACAGTCATTTCATTCCAACTGAATCTACCTTCAAATCTAATCCCAGGTAATGGCTGGCCTTGCTGGAACTGCCCCCACTGTTATTGGGTCTGTTAACAGAACACTGCAGGGAAGAGAAGCCACTGTCATGAGTGGCACACTATTAAAACAGAAAATCACCTCACTCTATAGAAACCTCATGCATATGGCTCGGTGCCTGTGGCTCACGTGGCTAAGGCGCCAGCCACATATACCTAAGGTGGCGGTTCTAATCCAGCCCATGTCCGCCAAACAACAATGATGGCTGCAACCAAAAAAAAAAAAAAAAAAAAAAAACTGGGCGTTGTGGCGGGCACCTGTGGTCCCAGCTACTTGGGAGGCTGAGGCAGGAGACTCACTTGAGCCCAGGAGTTGGAAGCTGCTGTGAGCTGTGATGCCACAGCACTCTACCCAGGGGGACAGCTTGAGACTCTGTCGCAAAAAAAAAGAAACCTCATGCATAGTGTAGACAACCAACTGTATCCAAAGTTCAGCAGAAATGACCCTGTGCTCCAGGGCACAGCCGGGGTGTTCAGACAGTTGAGTGGTGCAGCCAGACCCGGCGCCCCTCCCTTCTCAGCTGCTGCGTCCTCTGAAGGTGCTGCCTTCTAACTGGCCACAACACAGGTCCAAAACCTGTTAAAACTGAACTTAAATTAGTACAGATTTAGACTCTTTGCGGATTTCACGTAAGAAGACTATCGCAAGCCCCACAGGCTGCTTGTTTGCTCAAAAGATTCTCCATGTCTCACAAGCTTTTAAAAAAGAAATTATTCAATAGACTAGCCAAATGGAAGAGGCTTTTATTTGTAAAGAAAAGAACTTACAACTGGTCTACAATATATTATTGTAATATAAACAATATAAATAAATGATCCTGTAGGCCCACTCATCTTCCAGACCCACATGAAGCAATGTTACAACAATATTCTGTGAAAATGTGCGGCTAACAAAGGTGCAATTACAAGCAAGTTGAAGCAGCAGAATATAAGGTGCTTTAATAGTTAATGTTGCCATCAACAAACATTTGAATGCTCAATTTTACTTCACTGAATACAGACAACAGATATGAAAAGCTAATTCATACACATGCTACTTGTCAATATGAAAGTGCTTGCTTTTTTAAAAAAATACACCAAATGGACACTTTTTACATAGATCAGATGTGCTCTTACAATGCAAAATTAACTTCATCTCAGGTTATACATTTTAAAACTGCAGCTATCAACACCAATCTAGGAGCTCTAATGCTAAGAGTGCTAAACTACTTCCTGTCAGGAGGACTTTAATACAATATTCAATGTAAAGAATACATCTGTATAATCTTAACATTTGTTTTCTGTAAAGATAAAATTTCTCTTCCCCTTGGTGATGCTTTGTTCATCGTGGGAGACCATCTTTTGAGGTTTTAATAATATGAAAAGTCCTGTTTCAGAACAATGGGAGGAATGAAAAAAATCAGTTAACGTGCACTGGGTGCATCCACAAAATAAGTTTATCATAATAATTTGCTTTTGTTAAAATACCAACAAAAAATACTTTTAGTGAGAGGTTAAGAACTATAAAAGTACTAATTCATAAAGAGGGTTGGAATGCAGCCCCCACCGTCAGCGTCCACCAGCGTAAATCAGCCTTCGCTGCAAGCACAAAGCCCCCGGATTGCGAGCACAGCTTCGGGAACTTACTTCTTTTTTCCTTATGGGAAAAACAAAGATCTAGCCTGTGAATAAGATGACTAGGAATCTAGTTTAAACAACTTAAATATTCTAATTCTAAAATTATACCATCTTTACGTATTCGGTTGACTTTTTAAAACTGACTACATACACAGAAAGTATGTAATTGATATTAGGTACACTTTAAAAGTAATTTTTAATCAGTACCCTGGAAGAATTTTTTTAAAACTCAAGACTGTTTGACTACTTAGATGTTAGTATTCCTGTTTTCAATTAGTTGCAAGACTCCAATATCGACTCTAACTCAACAGTTATTGGGACATTTTCCTACCTGCAACTATGATGTATAAAAGTTTTAAAATTTTATATTTCTGTGGAGAATGTTAGTATCAATTGAAGTTAATATTTAAAGCTATGTTAATAGAGGAATCACAGTATGACTCACAGAATCCTACGGTGAGGAGGGCCCTTCACCCAGTTAACGGGGCCTCTCCCCGAGTGCTCCTAGAGCCCAGTGTGGGGTGTTTCCTGCTCACCAATTCTGCATCTTAAAGGACGTGCCTTCACTACCTAACACACGTGCTTTCCACTGCTGATCCTCACAAAGCTTTAAAAGGTGGATATTCTAATAGCCTTAAAATATAATAAAATTTATTTTGTCTAATCTTTCTTGCTTTAACCAAAACAAACAATAAGCCTGTTCTAGTGCTTTCCTTTGAGAGGTATCAGTTTTGGGAAGTTGTTACACTACCAATACTGAGCAAACAGCTTTTGTAGTTACAAATGTACACAGAGGTGCCATCTGCCACACACCCTGTACAGCAGCAAGCGGAGAGATTCAAGCGTCAAAGCAATGCTGGGAATACAGGCACCACATGGCCTCCAACTATAACGGGTAGTCTTAATTTTGTAACCTAGTAAGTTATATGATCAAGTGACAGCAGGATTTGAAACATGGGAACTGTAATGTGATGCAGACCCCTTAGATTCATCAAGCCTAATCCTTACCCAATGCATAAAAAGTGCCTCTTCAGTTCCAAGTCTGTGGTCAGTGCATTGGGTAGTGAGTTGTCCACACCAAGCCACAGAGGCCTCTGGGAAGCCCCTACCTGCCAGCCTGAGTCACGTGCGCTGCACAGCATGGAGGAACACGGCCTGCTGACATGTGCAGCGCACGGACAACAGTGCCTGCGTCTGCGTGTTCAGCAGTTCACAGCAGCACTCAAGATAGCGTCTTCACGTGCTTTTGTATGTGCACGTTCCACCTTCATCCTCAGAGAACACTGTAGATGACCTGGGAAATGGACGCTTAATAAATAATTACCTTTCAGCAGAAGTTCTTAATTATAAAATGAACCACTAAAAAGGAGAGAACTAAATAGGAGCAACTTTAAAAACACCCCATTACGGGCTGGGCATGGTGGCTCACGCCTGTAATCCCAGCACTCTGGGAGGCCTCAGTAGGAGGATCCCTTGAGCTCAGGAGTTTGAGACCAGCCTGAGCAAGAGTGAGACCCTGTCTCTACTAAAAAGACAAAAACTAGTGAAATGCAGCAGGTGCCTGTAGTCCCAGCTACTTGGGAGGCTGAAGCAGGCGGATCTCTTGAGCCCAGGAGTTTGAGGCCATAGTAAGCTATGATCACCACAGCACTATACTCCAGCCTGAACAGCACAGCAAGACCACAAACTTCTTTCTAAAAGAAGATGGTATTGATTTCACTAGTGACTAGAAGTCCCAGCGTTCCTCACTGTCTTTCCCCACTGTCCATTAAAGCTCTACCAGTCGTGGATCCACCACTGATGCTCCATAAAGGCTGATGGGCTGTGGCAATCCTCAGTCCTTAAGACAGTTACTTTAGTCCATTTAAACAGGTGATCTAGGAGGACTTAGTACCTTACTCAGATTCAACTAAGATTACGTCATGTTAGCATAATGGTGTTTTTTGTTTGTTTGTTTTTGTAGTTTTTGGCTGGGGCCGGGTTTGAACCCGTCACCTCTGATATATGGGGCCGGCACCCTAGCATAATAGTGTTTTAAAAGTATAGTAATTTTTTTCCAAATTAAAATTCATTCTTTACGATGCTGCTTTTAAACACCACATCTTGTTTTCCTTGTGTGGATTCACACTGAGCCCCGCCACCCTCACTGACAGCAATTCTGCACCTCTGAAAGGCAGCAGGAAAACGTTGCTAAGGTATGAAGCTTTCAGCTGGGACTTGGCTTTGTACCTCTTTAACATTTCAGGTTAAAATTCTTGTCTTTAAAATGGACAGCACCTGTGGCTCAAAGGAGTAGGGTACTGGCCCCATATGCTGGAGTTGGTGGGTTCAAACCCAGCCCTGGCCAAAAACTGCAAAAAAGAAAAAATTCTTGTCTTTAAATAAAATGAAATATCCACAAGCTACATAAAAAAGAGGAAAGCAAAACATTTGTGGGAAATATTCTGTCTTCACAGAACAAAGTTTCCATGAGAGGACGTCTGTGGGGCCCTGTCCTGTGTCTGACGGGGAGCTGGGCTTCCAGTCTAAAGGGAGGGCCTGGGCTCCCTCTTCACATATGTTCACGAGGAAAAAGTTCACAAAAAGCCAAATGTTTTTCTCTGGAATATGATGGTAATAATTATATTTGTATTAGTATTTGACAACTGCCACAAAAGCTTTCTCTCATAGTATAATTTTAAAATACACTAAGTTCTAAAGATGAATATACAAAACTTTGAAATTTCTTAAATTTAGGAAACATTTTTTCCAAAGAAGGTAATCTAATTTTAAATCTAAAACATTTTTTTAATGAAGTGCCTTCTACTGCTCCTGTGAAGGAGACGACAGTGACGCATTTTACAAACTTCTCGTATCTTCCCAGTTTTTAAAAGATGCACTTCTTAACAAGTTGAAACTAAATTTAGTTAAGACTGCATATTTACTTTTCCTAACACTGTATTTGTGCTTATCCGAGTTGAATCACAATTTTGAGATGAAATCAAATGCTCTAAACAGATTTATAAAATACCAATGCTGATGCAGGTGGGTAACCAGTCTCTGGATGATCCACACTGCCGTGCACCAGAGGCAGAGGAAAGCTCGCGCTTCCCTGACGGCAGGACTGGAGAAGAGAAACCTGCAGCTCTCAGATGCTGACACAGCCTCACAGCAAAATGCCTTTTTAAAACAATCTACAAGATTGATTCAACTGTGGTTATCTGAAAATGGAAACTCTGTGTAACTCTGACAACTCAGTTACAACAACTTTTGAATTTGACAAATCTTCTCCAACTATAAAAACTGTCACCTTTTTCAGAAATCAAAAATCAGTAACTTATGTATCATTGGAACTATTAATATCCACATCTCTGAGGAGAGGCCACTTGATGAAGAATGTGAAAGGATGAGTCTGAGGACAGGCCAATCCTGACATGTGAGACCTATAGCTTGCTTCTTGCTGTGTAAGTCACTCCTCCGCACGGCTGGGAGAGGCGCCATCTACACAGAACAGCTCCACTTAGCTCACCTGCTCCTCTTGGACCTAGAATGCTCTTCCTCCTGTCTGGCGTCTCCACCCAGGACCCCTCCCACAGGCCTCACTAGTTCCAGACATGGGGCACAAGCTGTGTCTGCACAAGCACACATTCTGCACAGGTGGCCAGTTCCCACTGCCTGAAGGTTTACTGAAACATGACTATTAGGTAGTAACAGACAGTCCTACCCCAGATGCCTCCCTCCCTAAAATTAGCCTTAATACAAAATCCTCTCTAAGGGTTTTCAGGAAAAGGTTTCTCTAAGAAGAAAGTTTTCACAAAATTTTCTTAGAGCTATCAGAGGCCTTAGGGGAGATGCTGGGGTGAGGCCCTCCAGCACCTTTAGCTCATGATCAACGCAGCAGGCCGCCATGTTCCTCTAACTGCCCAAGGGTTAGTCTTTAAGTTACACAACATAACCAGGCTGCTCTGGTTGAAAAAATATCTTTAAGACATTTTAACAATGTGTCTGTTCCCAGATTTTATCCACTGGATACGGCTGTGAGTTCAGCATCATTTACATTAACCTGTAATGGTTTGTTCTTTCACGGCCATTCACGTGTGCAACTGTACTGCCCTGGACCATACTTGTGCCATGGGGGCACCAAACCTTGAAATGAGAAGAATGGACTTTGACACCTTTACCAGAACAAGACAGTGAGAGGGCACTACACCAGACTTCAAGCTAAGGCTTATTTTGTGAATAAATGTCTGATTATAACTTTATACCTGATACATGAAGAGTAACCATGTCACAAACTGTTCAGAAGTCTGGTCACAATAATACTTGTTTCATACAGTCTTAAGTGTTTCAACATACCAAGAAACAGTGGGATAACTAATTAAAAAGTCACTTCTATTTCTAACTAGGTAGAAGAGCAGAACCTGATGAGGGGTGACGCAGGCTCTCCACTAACCAGACGGCAGATCTGCACCCGCCTCTTTCCACAAGCTACTTCACAGACATCTCGGTCCCTGCTCCACCTTCTGCTCCTGGGCAACAGCTCTTAAGCCAGGACTAAGAGGCGTACAAGGATTCCACAGCAAATTAAAATGCCACCAGGTAAACAGTTACATGCCACAACTACTGGTAACAGAAGGTGACAGGTTTGAGGACAACTCCGTCTCAAAATACATTGATTACTCACAGCTGCACAGCTGTGCCCTACACATGCCTGCACAGGCTTCATGAATATTAATGTCACATAAAAAAATTTTATAAACCAATTTGCAGTTGTTTAACTCTCCTAAGAACCTAAGGCTTAAAGCAAATAAAATTTCAAACTTACAGTTTTTTTTTCCCAATGGGAAAAGAGTGCAACAGTTTAAAGTCAGTAAATATAAACTTAAATAGCAAAACTAGGTAGAACCTCCACGCTCCCCTTCTGCTCATCATTCTGTCACCCAATTAAAATCTTAAAACAATTAGCAATATACTCTCCCTGCCTATTATCATGCTAACACCGTGCTTAAAGCTCAGGAGAGAGGTAGGTACCTAGCATTATCTATATAACCATTATACATAATGTAAGCTTTGAAATTAAGATGAGTAAATCACTTAGAAAAACAGCTACATTAGCAGAACTACCAGGTTAATAGCAAATGAGCCATTTATAAAGAAAATAATTCACTTAAGGAAAGTAAGTGCATTTTCTGGGTATGTTTTGAGTGGGGACAACAGGACTTCTGTGCTAGTTTTAAGATTGTAAAATTTAAGGTTATAAGGTATTCTCTTACAGAAACCCCTCTTGTAAGCCCCTCCTGGGTATTTAAGAGTGTGCTAGGCATAGGGGCTTTCCATAAGCACAAAATGACCAACATCAGAAGAGGGAGTGAACAAAAGGAGAACCCAGAACAGTTCAAAATTAATACCTCAAAGGCCACAGATAATACAGTTGTGGGAAGGAATTCTTACTGCTGGAGTCTGTCCTCAAATAATCAGTACTGTACTAATTGTGGATAACCTCTGAAAAGCTTTAACACCAGGGAAGCTCTCCCTTTGTGCCTTCCTCCCCTCATACACTGGGCCTCTCTTACTAAGACTTAGCTTACATTTGTGTTCTGAAATTTCAAGGTGAGGGGAAAGTCAAGCGTGCGACACAATGTCACAATGATTAACTGCTAGTAAATGAAGATTGATTACAGAATACCTAGCTTTCCTTGAAAGTTTAATCCAATAATTAAAAATGTGATATGTAACACAGACTACGAGCTATTGTAGGTCTGGAACGTGAGCCTTAAATGACATTCTAACCCTACACCTAACTATCAGTAAACATCTTTTTTAAAACACTACACAGAATCCCACAAAGCATACATTCAAATAAGAGGCATCTAAAGATTAAAAAAATTACCCGCTGTTATTTTTATATAAAAATAATCAACATTCTCTAATGTACACAAAGCCAAAAGATAAATATAGTATCTGTGATGCCTTCAGTGGCACCTTTAGTCTTTACTAGCTCAACATAATCTTGTTGAAAAGAGCAGTGAAAATGACACTCAGGGCCTCTCTTCCCCACTTATCTGAACTTCTCCAAGTAGACATGTGTGTGCCTTCAATTATTAAGATACCTCAATCATACAGTAAAGCTAAGACATAAGATTCAAATAAAACCTCCATAATCCTCTCAAACAGAATGTTTGATGTCCAGGACCACACTGCTCTCAGAGCTCCCATTACTTTGTTTTAGCGTCATAATTCTATGGAACACTGTTCAGTGAAAGGTTCTGCTTTAAATTTTTTTCCCTTAAACATGTACATAAAAATTAGATCTGACTACTGAAGAGAAATCACTTAGTGAGTGCTTTGAAGGAGGCATGCAAGTGTTGACAACGGAGAAATGAATGTACCCTCCAGCTAGACCTGCGCATGCGCCTTGGAGCATCCAGGAGCAACCCAGGCCCACTACTCACCAGCCCGCACCAGAAAGGCCCTGCAGCTCACAGGCACAGCTATAGTGCACCTCTGTCAGAGCAGAGGGGCACCAACATACAGGAGATAAATGTGAATCAGCACTTTCTGAGAGTCTATTTGTTAAATAAGTGTTCATCCTTATTTGGCAGGCCAATTCTGTGGGGTTCTTTTCTTAATATGCAAAAAACTGGAAAAAAAATCAGCAGAATACTAATGCTATCTGAATAATACTTCAATTGTGTATGTTTTCCTTGTTATGTCTCATCTTTTAAACAGATCCCTTTGGGTGAAAAAGAACAACACTTATCACTTCTACAAGTACCACCAGGGCTTCCCGGCCTTGGTGCTGATGCTTTGGGCCGGGCTATTTCGGCACGAGCAGCATCCTGTGCACCTCCCGCACCCTCCCCAGAACCAACACAGAGCTGTAACCACCAAAGTGTTTCTAGGCATTGCCCCTGGGGAGCAGAACTGATCTAGATTGAGAACCACTGCTCCAAATGTACAAAAACTTAGAAGATGACCAACTTTCTGAGTTCAACCAAACTCCTGGTCAAACTGGGAACAGAGACCAACTCTTCAGACTTCCAAATCAGCCTTGTTCACATGAGAACACAAGTTCTTTTTTATGGACAAAGTATTTGTCTACAGGACACTTTTTAAAAAATGCACACTGATTTCATCACATACAATTTTGTCACTGGACTCCTAAATTATTCCATATCTCTCATACAACCTTTAGAAAACTAGTAGGGTAGAAAACTGTCTAAGAAAACCAAATCAAAGAGGAGAATGTAAATCATTACATTTAAAAGGACCCTTTATATTAATGATAAACATCACCTTTAAAAAAATTATCTAGTATAACACATTTCTTTGAAAAATATCATGGCCCTCTATAACAAGTCTTTCAATGTTGCGTGTAACCTGTAAAATTAATTTTATCACTGTTGGTTAATTACGAAAATGATAAATTACTCTATCTGTAGCAGAAACATCAGCATTTAATGCAGACATCCCAATGTGCTTGACCATCCGTCAGAGGAAGTGTAACATTCTAGGCCAACTGGGGCCTCTACCTTATGAGTCAGCTGGAGAGGAGTAAAGCTGCTGCTCTATCACAGGTTCGTGTCTTTGTTAAGATTCCTTCAAAGAGTTGATGCGTGCACAGATCTTCAGGGCAGGGCCAAGCTTGATATTCATGGCACTCATGAGATGGTCTTCCTTCAGCAAGAGGAGGGCCTGTCCATCAATCTCTTGTGCTCTGAACTCATCTGCAATATCCTGGCAGCCTGAATTTGAAGGAAATTAGAATTAAGTACGTAATAATCAAATGTTAATCCTAATAGTCACAGTATACTCTCACTGGATCTGAGAATCCAAAATAAAGGCTGACAAATATAATTTTTATTTATGGTTATCTTAAGTTCACTCTTACAGAAGAGAGTACCTGCTGGCATTCTGAAAAGAATTCAAAACCCAGGTAAAGCAGCCAGGCACAGTGGCTCACACCCATAACTGCAGCACTCTGGGAGGCTGAGGTGGGTGGATCACTTGAGCTCAAGGAGTTCAAGGCCAGCCTGAGCAAGAGCAACACCCTGTCTGTACTAAAAATAGAAAAAAATTGCCAGGTGTTGTGGCACACACCTGTAGTCCCAGCTACTTGGGAGGCTGAGGCAGGAGGATCACTCGAGCCCAGGAATTTGAGGTTGCTGTGAGCTATGACATCATAGCACTCCAGCCTGGGGAAACAGAGTGAGACTGTCTCCAAAAAAAAAAAAAAAAAAAAAAAAAAACCAGGCAGAGCAATTTGCTTGTAATTTCTGCTCTAAAAATAACACTACAGAAATAACTAGTAAGAGTCAGGTAAAAACCGCACAACATCATCAGTCTAGATCAGTGTTTTTCAACCTTTTCTTAATCTCAAAGCACACTTAGCCCTGTAGTGAAACTTCCATGGCACACTTAAATTATGTTGATTTAAAAAAATAAGAATATACCTACTGTGCTTTGAACTTCTATCAAAAATAATTAATGACCGTTAAAACTTTCTGCGGTATACCAGTTGAAAATCGCTGCTCTAGGTGGTACATTTCCTTCATGAAAAGGTCTGTAGTGCCACCTGCAAGCATGCCACACGTGTGACAAGTTTGGGTTAACTGGGTCTTATATCTCATGAACTTATCTTTCAATAATACATCCTTCACATACAGATATAGAGGAATAAAATATAACAATTTTATTGTTATTTACAATAAATAACAATCTAGAAATATTTTAGATTCTCTGCTATTTAAGTAACAATCTAGAAATATTTTCTCAAGCATCAGAGCATGACTTTCAGTATCACTTGTACCTTGTTCTAATTTATGACCTTCAAATGCCAAGCACATCACTCAGAACGGAAAATGCCCTCTGGACCGCGGTGTCAGTCTACAGCGCTGCTGAGGGCCACACCACACTGCTCAACTTGCAGCTGCTCCTCAGAGCTTAGTGTCTCTGGGCTTATCTCCACTTCTGGTAAGAAAACTTCTCACTGGGCTCAGCACCCGCAGCTCAGTGGTTAGGGTGCCGGTCACAGACACTGGGGCTGGCGGGTTAAAACCCAGTCCAGGCCTGCCAAACAACGACAACTACAACAAAAAAATAGCTGAGTGGCTCGGCACCTGTGGCTCAAGCAGCTAAGGCACCAGCCACATACACCTGAGCTGGCGGG